TTTTTTTTTTTTTTTTTTGCCCGACCCTCCCTGGGCCGGGGATTGGGGGGCCCTGGCCTTAACACGGGTCCCCCAAGAGGAAAAAGATTTTATGAACCCCTCCTCCGAAAAAAAGAGTGGGAGCCCCCCGGGGACCCCCCCCACCCGGTTTTGGGGAGGGGTTTTTTTCCCCCCGGGGGGGGGGGAAAATTCACCTCAACATAACCTTTATTGTTTGGAACTCCGGGAAAAAGTTTGGGTACTTCGGGGGCACTTTGGGCCCCCCCCCCCGCGGGCCCCATAAGCCTTGTTTGTTCATGGGGCTCATGAAGAGGGGGGGGGCCCTTGGGGGGGGGGAGCCTTCTTTCCTCGGCAGGAAAAGTTTTAGCTTTTTAAGTGGGGGGCCCTGGGGGCATTGGGACCCCCCCCCCCCCCATTGCAGGGGGGGGGCCCCGGGTTCCTCCCCCCGGTGTCCCCGACCCAAGGCGGGAGGGCCCCCCCCCCCCCCCCCCCCCCGATAACAGGCGGCGCGTCACCAAGGTCCAAGGAGGGCGGCGAGACCGACCTCTCTCCACAGCAGTCAGCCAGGCAGTAATGTTGCTACTCCTCGAGTTTCGCACTAGGTTTCGCACTTGTTCTATGTCGTATTTAATGTGCCACACTTTCCTTTGTGAGACACGTTGAAAAAGTAATCGTTATCCATGCACGAGATTGTAAAAAGGGAACCAAACACGCATACATCAGCGAAGACCGCCGGAACCCCGGGACTCACGGCAGGACTGAGACGTGTGCGCGGTGAAGATATTGACACTTCGACAGGTGGAGCCGACACACGAGGGAGCGGACTCAATAGGAGGGGACGGTATTCGGGGCAGCGGGGCCCGCCTCTTTGCTCTCAGTTCACTCGCCGTCGCGGTCCGATTCGTCCGACCACTCGTCGTCGTCCCGAGCGGCGACGGACAGACGGCGGTTCTGGAAGTCGTCGCCGGCCTTCTCTTGCGAGGCCGCCGTGGAGCCGCGCCCGCCGGACTTGGGGGGCGGCTTGCCACCCGGCGCGGGGGAGGAGTCGCCGGCGCCCATCTCGGAGATGCCTGTGACGGAGGAGGCGGGCTCGGCGGGGGAGGGTTCGGCGGCGGCGGCGACGGCGGCAGCGGGCTGGGCGTGGGCGGGGACGGAGGCGGTGGGGACGGCGGCCTTGCTCTCCCATGTTGATGTAGAGGGCATCGCCCTCGAAGGAGCCACCCGAGAGGCCGAGCTCGAGCGTCGGCGCCTCGCCGCTCGAGACGAAGGGCAGCCGCGCGACGATCGCGGTGATGTCGTCCCGGTAGTTTCCCTCCTCGCGCTTCCAGCGCAGCGCCGCCTCTTGCACGAGCTTGGCGCAGCCGCGGCTCATCGAGCCGGGCTCGGAGGCGACGATCTCGCACGCCTAAGCGGGGCTGCGAGGTATAGCCGAGGTACACGAGGTGCGGCCGAGGTGCGGCCGAGGTGCGGCCGAGGTAAAGCCGAGGTGCGGCCGAGGTGCGGCCTCGCACGCCTCTTGCGATTCGATGAACTCCCACACGCCGTCGCTCGCCACGATTACGAAGCGATCGCCGTCCCCCTCCGGCTTGGCGTCCGGTGCGGCCGCCAGCTCGAAGCGCTGCACCTCGGGGTTGGGGATCACACCGTACTTCTTGCACTCGCCGTCTCCGACGGAGCGGCTCATGGCCAGCCCGATCTTGCCCGCCGCCCACACGCGCGCCGGCCGCCCGTACTCGCCGCGACTCACCTCGCCGCCCGCGTTGAGGATTCGCTCCAGCTCGCCCTCGCCGTCGGGCTTGTGATCGTTTGTCAGGTCCCGGGCGCGGATCTTGCCGCCCTTGCTCGAGCCCAGGACGGCGCGCGAGTCGCCGCTGCAGGCCGCCCAGAGCGTCGATCCATTGATGTAGACGATGGTGCTCGTCGTGCCGCACGAGCGCGCAAACTGCCCGCCGTTCTTCTTGAGGACCGCCTTGTCGACCGAGCAGACCGCCTTTGTGAGCACCTCCTCTGGGTGCGATCGGAGCTCGTCGCCGTGCTCCTGGAGCGCGGCGGGGATGGCCTTCATACAAAACTCGCTCACCTTCTCGCCGTTGCACCCGTGCCCGTCGAAGACGCAGAAGAGGGCCTCGTTGTGCGACGAGTTGAACGGCCAGTAAGCCACGCCCCGGTCTTGGTTGATCTTGGCGTAAGAGGAGCCGCTCGGCCCCGGGCTGACGCCGTGGCGCGTGGCATTTCCAAGGCTGGCGTCGAGAGGACCCTTGGCGGAGGCGGGCTCACACGAGCCGCGTGGCGACGTGATCTCAGCCGGAGCGTAGGCAATCGAATGGCGGCCGTTGGCTCGTGGCTTGGATGCCGCCCCGTCGGACGCTCGGCTGCCTCGGCTGCCCGTGTCGAGCGGCGCTGTGCGCTGCGGCACGTTGCTGGTGTGCACCTCCTCGTCGCTGGGTGAGGAGCACGCGGCTCCCATGGTGGTGGTGGACGCTGAGAGGCAGGGACCGCGCCTCGTCGAGTGGGCGTCTTGAAGGCGCCTCGCGCTCACGAATAGCCTTGTCACGCGCTGGTTTATTTTCTTGTTTTCATAAGGCGCCCGCAATCTCTTCCTTGTTTAGTGTTTTTTTATCTGTAGTTTCCACCTGACACACTGACATGTCCCCGGGGGAGGGAGCCCATCGCACCAGGCAGGTGGAAGGGAGCTACAGCGAGCGGGCTTTATTTTCTCACTCAGCATCTCACCGCAACTAGAAAGAACCCGCAACTATGGATCGACTATGCTTTTTTCTGAACCAAGTTCGTCGGTGAAACGGGGATCTAGAAACAAGCCCCTCTCCAGGACGGCCAAGCGCCTCTGAAACAATCGCCCTTCCCCGCGCTCCGCGCCCTCAATACAGCCAGGGCGGGCGACTATGCCCTCACCCTCACGCGTCCTCCACGGGCCCGTCGCCGATGGTGAGCCCCGTCTCTCGCTCGTAGTCGGCGTGGCTCGCGCTCGGCACCGTCCACTCGCCCTGCACCAGCCACGCGCACCGCTGCACCCGCTGCTGGATCGGCTTCATGTTGTCGGCCGGGAAGTGCGAGAAGCGCCCTTTGCGACCGACCGGGCAGCGGTACAGCCACGCGAGGCGGAAAAGGAGGCGTAGGGCGGTACGACCCGGCCACAAACGTGACAAGGAATTGCTACCTCCTACCTGTTTTTTGCTGAGACCAACTTCGTCGGAAAGGGATCTGAGCAGGCACACATCGCTTCCAGGGAGGGGGGCGCACTTCTCTCCACGCCCCACCCCCCCCCTAGCATGTGGTGAAGCCTCTGAGGGGGTCGGGACCCCCCCCCCCCAGCATGTGGTGAAGCCTCTGGGGGGGGTCGGACCCCCCCCCCTAGCATGTGGTGGGCACCCCCCAGCTGTTCGTGGGCTAGGAATAGGCGCCAAAGAGCCGATTTTGCCCCCAAAGTTGTGAAATCGTGGCTGAAAGTCCAATATCTTGGAGAATCTGACCAGTCTCAAGGCTCATGTAGCTCCACAGGATGATTTTCTTCGAAAAAGGCTGCGAAATGAGGTGCAAAATCAAGGGCCCGGAGGGTCTGACCACGAACTGGGGGGGGGTCCTCGGCCATGACCCCCCCCCTAGCATGTGGTGAAGGTGCTGGGGGGGTCGGGACCCCCCCCCTAGCATGTGGTGAAGGTGCTGGGGGGGGTCGGACCCCCCCCCTAGCATGTGGTGTGAGTAGAAGCGCGCCCCCCTCCCTGGAAGCGATGTGCGCCTGCTCATGGTCGAAGACTGCAGTCATAGCAGCTTGTAGACGTATTACACACACAAAGACTCATAGCAACTCGGAGGCGTATTACACACACAAAGACTCATAGCCACCCGGATCACTTCAGACAGCCTCCCCCTGCATCCGCCCGGACTCCCTCTGGTCGCGCGGCCTCCGCTTGCCCCGCTGGCGTCTGGCGTCGCCTCTCGCCCCCCCCTCCCCCCTCCCCCGGATGGGCCACCCTCCTCCACCCGCCCCTCCCGATCCCCCATCTCCCCAAGCACGCCCCCGGCCTCCCCGCCCTCCACCCCCCCACCACCACCTCCTCAGTCGGATCCCTCCCCCTCTTCCTCCCCCGCTCCCCACCGCCCCCCTCCCCCCCCTCGCCCACGCCCCCCCCCTCACCGCCATCCCCCACCCCGTCCCGCGCCCCGAGCCCGGGGCATCCGTTCCCATCTCTGGCTGCCGTTCGCCGAGCGCCTCCTCAAAGCATGCGAGAATCTCGTCGCTCTGAAGGTCAGCCTCGAGCACGTCGCCAGCACGGCCCGCCGTCGGTCGCGGTCTCGTCTTAGTTCTGGCAGCGTCGGCGCCGACCTGCTCCCGCGCTGGCCACGCATCATCGCGAGCAATCGCGTAACGGGAGGCTCGCTGGGTTTTTGTGGCTTTTTGCGCGGCTTTTTTGGATTCTCCCGCCTTCCTACTACTCTCTTGGGTTTTTATTTCACCCCACGCGAAGAAGAAATTCAGTCTGCATTTCTTCTTCTCCGCGGGCGAAAATAGAAATCCTTTTTCGGGGGTTTCTTTTTTCGTCCCCTACCTTCACTGCTGCCCGAACCCAACACATCATGTCGAATGATGGCGACAAGCACGCGGGCCTGCGTCTGCATCTCTCCAGCAGCTGCAGTACCGGCTACAAGTGCGTGTACGAGCACTTTGGCCGCTTCCAGGCGAAGCGCTGGGTGGACGGCAAGGAAGTCTGTCTTGGAACCTTCGCCACGGCGGTGGAGGCGGCGGCTGCCTACGCGCGGGCTGTCGGCGGCTTTCAGCCTCCCCCTCCAACGGTGGTGACCGAGTCGGAGGGTTTGAGGCTTCACCTCTCGACCAGCAACACCACCGGCTACGCGGGCGTGACATTTTATCGGGTCGGCCAGTATCACGCGCGAACCCGTGTGGACGGAAGGAAACGCACCTTGGGGGTTTTTGACTCGCCGGTGGAGGCGGCGGTGGCGTACGCGCGAGCGGTAGGGGGAAAGCGGCGGCGCCCCGAGGATGAGGACGGCGACGAGGCGGGTCCTAGATGCTTGACCAGTGAATGCTCATCGTTCGTGGCTTCCGGCCAAAACTCGGGAGGACACGACTGTGCTGTGTGGCAGCGAA